GTGATGTCCCGGCCCCGCCTTCCTCCCAAGTCCGGGTCCCGGAGCCAGGCCTGGGCGGCGCTGGACCCCGCCTCCCTCCCCGCCCCTGCGCCCAACGTCAGATGCACCCCCTTCCTCGAGGTGCTCCCTGAAGCCACTAGATTTGGGAACTGCTGTTTGTAAGGTTTGGCGGTGATGTCCCGGCCCCGCCTTCCTCCCAAGTCCGGGTCCCCAACCCAGGCCTGGGCGCCGCTGGACCCCGCCTCCCTCCCCGCCCCTGCACCCAACGTCAGATGCACCCCCCTTCCTCGAGGTGCTCCTTGAAGCCACTAGATTTGGGAACTGCTGTTTGTAAGGTTTGGCGGTGGGTAAGCCACGCTAAAGACCCAAATGCTCAAATCACCGCATCTCTCTACCTGGTGGGCAGATCTGGGAACTTTTTTTAAAATATATTTTTATCGCTTTCAGAGAGGAAGGGCGAAGGAGTGAGAGAGAAACATCAATGATGAGACAGAATCATGGACCGGCTGCCTCCTGCACGCCCCGCACTGGGGATTGAGCCCACAACCCAGGCCTGTGCCCTGACCGGAATGGAACCCTGACCTCCTGGTTCACAGGTCCTGGCTCAACCACTGAACCACCCGAGCCGGGCAAATCTGGGAATCTTTATTTGGCTTCCGGCTATTTTCATTTGTGGCTGGGATTCTGCCTTAAAAATAACATTCTGACCTCTTCTAACGGGAAGTCAATAGGAGGGCATGGGAATTTATGCCCAAAGTAAGGAATGCCCTAGGACCCCGGATCAAGGGGATCAGAGTGATGTGGAGGAAAGAGCGCTGAGAGGCACGATGCCCGCATGCCTGTCTCAGCGCTGCCCCTCGCGGGCACCTGGCCACATCCAAGACTCCTCACCTCCGGGTGCCTCAGTTTCCTCGCCTGTACCTCGCCCTAAATGGATGGTGACCGTTCTACAAGATTGCTCCCAACCAGTGAACTTGAAATTCCTCGGCCTCTTGGTCTAGTTGTGCCGTGTAATGCAAGAGAGCTTATAGGGGGGGGGGGGGGGGGGGGGTAGCAGCAATGAAATGCTGGCAGTTCTGCGTCCCAGACAAGGATCTCAAAGGCCCCTGGCAAGGCTGCTTCCCACCGAGAGGAATGTTTCCTAGGACACGTTTCTGTTGACTCTGCAGACCCAGTCCTTCGAGGTAAACAACCTCAGCGGTTGCCTTTCCAGCTCCCAGAAACCCCAATTAGGAACGAAAGTGCATCTTCTCCTAGACAAGGCGTTCGAAGATCTTCAGGCAACCACCAGGGACAGAATCCGGGGAGGAGGCAGGAGGGAGGCCGTGTGTGTTGTGATTAAAGAACCCACCCAAGAGCGTAAGTAGCCTCATTACAGAGAAATAAAACCACCCGGTGCCAGCGCCAATTAGAGCTGCCCGGGCGAATGGTTGTTTTCATCTTCTCTAAACCCTAGATGCCAGCCGAAACCGGTTTGGCTCAGTGGATAGAGCGTCGGTCTGCGGACTGAAAGGTCTCTGGTTCGATTCTGGTCAAGGGCATGTACTTGGGTTTCGGGCACATCCCCAGTGGGAGATGTGCAGGAGGCAGCTGATCCATGTTTCTCTCTCATCGATGTTTCTAACTCTCTATCTCTCTCCCTTCCTCTCTGTAAAAAATCAATAAAATATAAAAAATAAAAATAAAAAATAAACCCTAGATGCCAGAGAAAGCAGGCTTGAATGTGACTGAGCCGGTCTTAGAAAGTTCTAGGTTATAATTAAGAGAGAGCCATGAAAGACCAGGCCACCTGCAGCCTGATGTCTTCCCAACACTGAGGCTGTCTTGGCTGTGTGTGGTGAATGCTATAAACACTGTTGGTATGCAGCCCTGGAAAAAGCCGCGGTTTATCCAGTCCCTTCTCTGGCTCCAGGATTACTCTGGCTGTTTAGGCCTGAAGGCTGTGAGGACACCACCTCTGATCACCCCGGGCAACGGGGATTCTTGGTGGGAGGTGGAGAAGCTCAGTCCCAGCAGGGCTGCCCATCACCAGGGGGAAGCTGGAATGTGCCAAGGACCACAGCGCCCTCCCACCCCCACCCCCGGCCTGTTCCATGGGGCAGGAGGGAGGTTCTGAGAGTGTCCTGGGTCGCCTGTCTGTCTCTCCCTCCGCCGAGCCCTGCAGCATGGTCCCCTGCTCACCCACAGCAGCTCTGACACTGGCTCCCAACAATTCTCAACGGCTTCCTCATTGACAAGCCAAGGGCCAAGTTCCAGGCTTTACCTCTTTCTCTCTCTTTTTTGTTTTTTTCCAAAATTTTTTATTGACTTCAGAGAGGCAGGAGCGTAAGTAGCCTCATTACAGAGAAATAAAACCACCCGGTGCCAGCGCCAATTAGAGCTGCCCGGGCGAATGGTTGTTTTCATCTTCTCTAAACCCTAGATGCCAGCCGAAACCGGTTTGGCTCAGTGGATAGAGCGTCGGTCTGCGGACTGAAAGGTCTCTGGTTCGATTCTGGTCAAGGGCATGTACTTGGGTTTCGGGCACATCCCCAGTGGGAGATGTGCAGGAGGCAGCTGATCCATGTTTCTCTCTCATCGATGTTTCTAACTCTCTATCTCTCTCCCTTCCTCTCTGTAAAAAATCAATAAAATATAAAAAATAAAAATAAAAAATAAACCCTAGATGCCAGAGAAAGCAGGCTTGAATGTGACTGAGCCGGTCTTAGAAAGTTCTAGGTTATAATTAAGAGAGAGCCATGAAAGACCAGGCCACCTGCAGCCTGATGTCTTCCCAACACTGAGGCTGTCTTGGCTGTGTGTGGTGAATGCTATAAACACTGTTGGTATGCAGCCCTGGAAAAAGCCGCGGTTTATCCAGTCCCTTCTCTGGCTCCAGGATTACTCTGGCTGTTTAGGCCTGAAGGCTGTGAGGACACCACCTCTGATCACCCCGGGCAACGGGGATTCTTGGTGGGAGGTGGAGAAGCTCAGTCCCAGCAGGGCTGCCCATCACCAGGGGGAAGCTGGAATGTGCCAAGGACCACAGCGCCTCCCCCACGGGGCCTGTTCCATGGGGCAGGAGGGAGGTTCTGAGAGTGCCCTGGGTCGCCTGTCTGTCTCTCCCTCCGCCGAGCCCTGCAGCATGGTCCCCTGCTCACCCACAGCAGCTCTGACACTGGCTCCCAACAATTCTCAACGGCTTCCTCATTGACAAGCCAAGGGCCAAGTTCCAGGCTTTACCTCTTTCTCTCTCTTTTTTGTTTTTTTCCAAAATTTTTTATTGACTTCAGAGAGGCAGGGAGAGGGAGAGAGAGATAGAAGCATCAATGATGAGAGAGAATCATGAATCGGCTGCCTCCTGCACGCCCCTATTGGGAAGCAAGC